CGAGTGTCCGCACAGACTGCCTTATGAGCCCGGCGAGCAGACAGAGTATTCAACTTGGCCCGTGGTTTGCAACAAGATCGCCGTTTGTCGACTCGCGTGTTGGCACTCTGCTTGCTGGTGGATTCTAATCCTAATCAGGTTCAAGCGGTGCGGACTGTCCCGTGTCGTTGACGGCCAGCATTGTGGAATTGCAGCCGCTTCCCTCATAGCCAGAAGCGCCACAGCATCCAACCCAAGCTGCACCGTTGATCCTGAACAACGCGGTGCTCGCGAACTCATCCTCGTTTCAGGATTAACGAGGAGGTTGGACATCGTACTTCCCCTTCTCCAATCACCCAATGATGAAAAATCAAACAACCCTTGTTGCCTCTTTGACTGCAGGTGGTTTCTTCTTTCGGACGGCTAATGGATGGCTCAAGGGCCCAAGCAACTTTGAGACATCTGAACACACCCATTGCGATGCATATCGCTTTCCATACAAAAAGTGGGCTGAAAGTCAGCCTCCAAGAGTTCAAGATGGCGGAAAAGTCCAACTTTGGAAGCAGCCAGCCATTATGCATGTTTGGGCCAGATGTGAGGCCGCATGAGAACAAATGTTCCCACAGATCAAAACGACAACCTGCTGTTTGTCATTGGGCGTGGGGAGAACTATAGTTGGATGCCGAGTATGATAGCCAAGCTAGCAAGCATAGAACGTGCTTGGGGGCTGATTGCCAAGTCGTCAGAGTTGAAAGGGCGCAAGTCCGTTATACTCTGGTCTCCAGTCTCCAAGCCTTCAGAAATGCCTTGCATGATCCGTTGAAGATCATATCCTATCCGGACTGGTGGGACAGGCTTCAAGTGACAGCAAGCGTGGATGGGGACGGAGACAGGATCCAGGGCTCAGATGTTTGTTCTCCGTGGCATTATTGATTGCCCAGCGCATTATAACCCCAGACTGTATGACAATGGGGACTTTACGCCACAGGCTTCGCTCATAGTAGTAGTCGACAAGTCGCTTGCACAGTTGGCGCTCGTCATCTTGTTCTGGCAGCCACACAGACTCGAATGATCGGCCAGTCTGTGCGAAGACATTGCTCACCCACTCCCTTGGCAACCGTGGGGCGGTCAAAGCCACTGGTAGGCCAACAAAGAGCAGAAATCATGGTGTCGAGGTTCCCTTTGAGACGTGGGGCACAGGAAATCGTACCAAGATGATGAATGATTTGGGGCAGTACCACTGGGCCAGTGAACTCCGCGCTCCGTACAACACGAGCCGTTCGGCCGTCATACAATTCCCACTCTTTCATGTAGTTGGCCAGCCATGTCTGTGATGCTGGTTAAATCAGCACCAGGTATTTGCTTTTCGATACACATCGCAGATCTGAATATTGATTGAAAAGAGCTGGCAAGTTGGCTCGTAGCTTGCCTCCATAGAACTCAGGTGTCAATCATCAATCGCCAGCTTCATGATAGCACCACCGAACAGAATCCAGCGCAAATTACTCCGTACAATTTCGGAAATATGACTGTGGGTTGCTCCACGGGTATGCGACGTACTAGTTTTCACGGGAAAGAGGGGACATACCCAGGATATCAGGACTACTCGTGCCATCTGTGGCTGCGTGGTGAACTCGGTAGATATGGTGTTGCTCAGCACGCGCCTTCATATGAAGCTTGTTTGAGCGAAGCACCAGCCCCTTGCTTGTAGCTGGTACTTTAGTCTAGAGGAAAACGAGAATTGCCACCAAGACCACTCTGGAACTCAAGTTTGCTTACACGCGGCTTGTTGCATGCAAATACTGTAATGTTCTCTCTACTCCGTATTCTCTAGGGACTACAAGGTCGCCATGTGCTTTGCTGGTTTGGCTCGTAATTGGCAATGTCACATGTATCGTAGGCCAGGCTTCCATCCACTGCAAGGAACCCTGGGCATCCCGCGAGATGCGATCGATTGATTGATGGCAAACCAGTGCACGAACCGTAATCTCGCCAGCTGGCTGGCCAATGCACAAAAGAAAGTCCCAGCAGCCTGGTAGGTAGTCACTGTTGGTTGGATCGCGCGCAAAGGGAGACGTGCGTGAGTGAGATCGTAAAATTCCACTTTGCGTGGGAACCACAGGAAACAAGGCAGCAAGCTCGGGTGCGGATGTCCTTGAGCAGGCAGCCGAAGCAGATGGTTGTATTGAGACTTTACTATGCCCAAATAAGGTCGAGAACAAGCCAGCAGATCGTCAAAGAGCGCAATGATTATGGTGGTGGAAGGTGAGACGCATGATATTTGCGGCGACAAGACGACTGAACTTGGCTCGGTTGAGATTGAAATTTGGGCGAGTACTCCGTAGTCCGACGTCTGGATCGATTGACCTTTGGGGTAATGTTGCTTGTTGTATGATCGACAAGGGAGGAGACCTACCTATACAGCCAGGTACTTGGGAAATTAAATACGGAGAACTTAAATGCTCCGCATAGAGGCGAATCTAACAAGCTTGCTCGAGTACCTAGTTTGCCTAGGTGCTTAGGTACCTAGTTAGCATGTTCGGGTTTTGAAATGCCAGAATCCACCATCCGGAGGAGCACGCACACATCTGTACGAATGGAGCCTAACCAGACTTCTTGTCTTTCCATAAATGCCCCTAGTTACAGTGCCATGTCCATGGGTAGCCAGCCATGAATAGAAGAAGCCTTGTCTGTTAGTTGGGGGCAAGCCGCAAGGCTCTGATTCCGAGCAAGAAGGCAACACGACTTGCATGGAAGTCGAATCAATGGATACGGTCTTTGTGCATGCCCTGGGTGCATGTATTGCAGTGTACCGGGTACGGTAGCGTTAATTGATGGCACCTTCACATATGTAGTTGCAGATGCCGTGTATGGGTAAGATTGCTACTTCGTACATGGCATCCTTGTCTCGGCTCCGTCTCAAGCAACCAGGCAACTTTTGGGGGACCAAGTGGCCAGCATGGCCATGCGGATGGCGACTGTCCCCTGATTTGATTTGTCTTGGATTCGATGCTTCGACCGCGAAAAGCGAACCGCCAAAGAGCTAGAATTATCGTCAGCCACAAACGTCCGCCAACGATCAAGGCTTCAGGCCGGAAGAGGGAAGGGACGCATGGCCTAGCAAGGGAATAGTAGGGTTTACCCGACATATCATCTGCAACTTGACGAGTCGGACGAGTCGTTTGGCTACAAATTGAGTTGGCTGGTGACGGGTAGCGGGTAGCTTGTAGCTGGTAGTTCGCCCTCTCGCCCTCGCCCTCCAGGCTCGCTAGCTCACTTGCCTTTGTGATGGTGGAGCGCAATTTGTCTTTGCTGGGACTCGTTGGGGCCGGCCCACCGTCGCGGTCGCTCACCATCTACAGTGGGTACAGGTAATTCCGAGTTTAGCCCCATTTTACACCAAAACTCTTACTTTTTAAGTGCTTATAATTATATTATTTCTTATTATATTAAATAAAAAAAATATTTTTATATTTAAAATTACTTAAAGATTATATATATATAAATTTTTTATATTAAATTTTATTATTTAATATAATATAAAGCTTTAAAGTTAATAAAAGTACTTTTACTAAGAAATTTATTAGTAAAAGTACTTTTAATATTTTTAAAGCTTTATAAGTAAGTAAATAAAATAATAAAAAATAAATAAAAATTATTTATATAAATTTTAAGTAATAAATAGTTTATTGAAATTTTAAAAAACTTTTTTAGTATATTATTAAGCTTAATAATTAATAATAAAATATATGAGTTTTAGTGTAAAATGGGGCTTTGCTCGGAATTACCTACGACCCACTGTAGTTACCACCACCGCTCGCCGCGCCCTGAGGAAGGAGCATTGGACATGCGACTCAGACAACCAGACCAGACAAGGCAACGGGGCTGGCTCACACACTCTCTCACTCACCCACAGCCGACGCGACAGGGGTGCAGAATCCACGCCGTGGTCTTGGGTTTTGGAGTGTTCCAAGTAACTTAGGTTGTAATTCCATCCACACCTTCATCGTCCGCTCAGCTCACAAAACGCCATGCTAGGTCCCTGCGCGCATCCATACATCAACCCCTGATCGTCTGAACCGGGGGCGCACCTAGAGCCCACCGGACCAAACTAGTAGATCCCCTTCTTTTCTTCTGGGCTGGTCCTGGTGTGACGGACAAGCTGGCTGCGCACCTCCGGGTCCCCCGATCTGCTTTGCCTTGGCTGGCATTGAAGAAGGAAGCCGTCGCAGTATCTCTGACCCACGGATAAGCGTTCCATATCCTGAGCCTTCTCTTGCACGACCAAAGCATTAATTGTCTTTGCAACCTCCCGCAACATATGCCAATCCAGCCACCCAAGTGACGAGAAGCTCGAACCTCCCATTTCGCCTATTCTGATCAGCTTCGATAGTTATATCGGCCCTTTGCAGCGACGAGATGAGACGCCACTTCAATTTCTAATACTAAAAGGGTCGAGGTTCGTGGGATATCGCCCCTGTTACTACTTGAACACCCACCCCCTTTCTCTTGGTTGTTGTCTCCCCTTCCTTGGTCTCATGCCACACTTTGGGAACCTTGGCTTGTTATCTTCTCGTACGAACACCAGCATCATTTCACGAGTTGCACAAAATAGAAAGCAGGGCAGTAATTGTGTGCAGAACCCTGGCGGCAGTTGCCACGAGTTCGTGCCTTTATGTGCCCTGCTCTAACCTCGCCTCGTACAAGACATTGATTCGCGCCGTATTGTGTGTTGCCGAGAGTGTGCACCAGCCAAATCTTTTCAATTCCTTCTCGAGAAGAAAAAAGCCGTCAATAGTGTTCTAACCGTTACCAAGTAGTATCATACGCTGGACATACATCGTATCTGTAATTGCGTTGGCAGTCAGCCCTCGACTTTTGCGATAGCAAAAGTCACTACCGACTTGGTGCAAACGCGCACCGCCGTTCAGGGCCCGATAGCAACCTAGACAAGATAGTCAAACCCGCAATACGAAATAGAACCAAAGGACAACTTGCAAGCAACATTGACCAAAACGGTCATGGTGAGCCCGACTACGGACGCCAACACCTCCAGACCGGCATCTGGGATGGTCTCCCCCAGGCATGTGAGGTCAAGGACACAGAGTATCTCCAGTGACAGACCGTCATCCATTGGATATGGTTTGGTCTTGCCCCCCGTGTCCATCTCCCCCCAGGCCGCCTTCATTGCCTCCAGTGCCGCTTCTCAAATTATTACAAACGATCATGACAGTCACGCAGATGCCTGGTATGATCAGAACGGCATTGAACCTGCGGCGGAAACTGCAACGGTGTCGGCCTCAGCTCTGCAACTTGTGAACAGCTTTCTTGACCAGCTCCTATTCAACGTGCTTCAAGTTTCCAAGTCTACCGCACTATCTGCCCTTCGCCCTGCCGTTATTGAGGTCCTGAAGCCGAAACTTGGCAAAGATGCTGTCAGCAACGCTGACGAAGAGTTGCGCGAATACCTTGGAGGCGCAAACGAAGAAGACTACGGACAATTCCAAGGATCAAGCTTATCTCGGAGTTGGGATGGGGAGCTTGCGTGGAAAAGAACGAGGCTTCGGTGCATGGTTTATTCATCATTGGGGGACATGGAAGAAGAGGACGAGGATGCCTACATGGAAGAAGAGAACCTTGACATCGGGGCGCACGAACAAATCTCCGATACCATCTCTCCCCCAGTGGCAATCTTCCTTACTTCTGTCATCGAGTATATGGGCGAACTGACCCTGACAGTTGCCGGGCAAGCCGCATACCAACGAGTTCGATCAAAGATTGAAAAGGAGCTCAAGGACGGTGCTCGCAACACGAGTGACCCTGCAGATCGCATTGTGGTTACCGACTTGGACATGGAACGTGTTGCACTTGACAGAACTTTAGGGCGCCTTTGGCGGGGATGGAAGAAGAGAATGAGAACTCCAACAACCGACATAGCTGGAAGCCTGTTTCCAAAGGGACCACCGACCCCATGCAAGCCGGATCAAATGCAACCTGCGCACGATTTTCTAAGCCCCCCCAAATCTGCAACTAGCGACTCGGGGAGTGAGTTAAGGGATTCTCAGGAACATTTCGAGGGCCCCATCATTGAGCATGTCCAACCTGTGGACATCCCGCTCCCCCTTGGAGACAATGATGTGGATGAGATTGAGGTTCCGGGTCTTGCGCATTATAGCGACGATGAAGGTGACGACGAAATGGACGATGATGAAGTGCAGGTTAGAAAGCGTCCAAAGAGTCTTTTGATCAGCTCGTCTATGTTTGCGAATGGACTCCCGACCCCGACTAAGTCACAGCCGCATACACCTACTGTACCCAGCAGACAGCGCTCTACGTCACTGCCGACTCCAAGAGTCCCTCACTTTTTCCCGAAGACCCAGAGACACATCCCATCATCAACCCCAGAGTCTGAAGCGGACCAGGACACTCTAGCCGAGATTGGAATTGCGATGAGTACACACGGTCATGGGAGTCCCTCAGAGGCAAATGCTGAACCTATTGCTGCTAGTGGTACACCGGCTACAAAAGATGTCGATGCACGAAGTCAGAGCTCAGAGTCGGATTATGACGGTACAGAGGAAGTTGCGTTTGAAAAAGCTGAGATAATGACTACTTCGCGCATTTCGATGTCCAGCAGCGCTCAGTCCACAGACTCCGATAGTAATGGCAAGGCAACTCCTTTGAAGAGGTCGTCTAGTGTGCACTCCGCACGCATCATTGACGTACCTGCACCGCGTTCTCCTGCACGCTCGCGGCCAACCTCATTAGACGCTACAGAACAGCTTCGCGCAGTTAGAGTGTCTGGCATTGCCAGTGGTTTTTCAAAGATGGCAGCTTCAGATGAGCGGCTCAAAGCCACCAGTAACGAAACCCCAATTAAAGCAGCAATTAGCGCGCTCCCCCCCCGATCATCGCACGATAAGAGAAAGCCTTCCGCCAGCAACACGACACCAATCTCCGAACTTGAGGAAGAGGTATCTCAGAATTTCGCCAAGGCTGTAAACCAGCCGGACAGCTCGGCAGATGCCGCGGAGATGGAAGCAGCTGGCAGCACAGGTTCTGCAATGTCACAGCGCAAAAAAGGAATGCCCGTCACTCTAAATACTAAGATTCAATCTTCAAAGTACGAACAGTCACCTGTGAGTGCAATGGCTGTTCTTTTACCAGCAACACCCGCGACGCCGGACATTGAAAAAGGAAACCTACCGGATCTGCCCAAGAAGGCCTCTGTCCATTCGGGTTGGAGCAGCCCTAAGCCTGAAACCAAAAGCCGTCTTTCAATCGAGCGCACGAGAACTCGTGAATCAGATGAACTCAGCCTGCCAGCGCAACAGCAAAATACCTCCGGCTCTCGCCAAGTTAGCCAAGCCCACACCTCTGCTTCTTCAGTGTCATCTGGGGCGTCCCGTCTTAAGCCGGTGCGAACCTCAGAGGACAGCTCTAGTCGCTCGGAGAGTGTAGCTCGCAATTTCGAAGAGCTCATCCAAAGCAACCAAACTATTACATATACCCTTACTCCTGAGAATATGCGTGACGTTGATGTAAGTATCAGAATCGATCAGCCCCGAAAGAATACATCACGTTTTCCAGAAGCCAATACTAATCTTACATGTTGCAGGCGAAACGGTCTTTGGATAGTCCGGTCGTAACGAAGTTTGCTCGTCGCAAGAGCGAGGACGCCCGAGCTCATCAATATTCACCCAAGGCGTCCCCAATCTTGACTCCTTCGGCCGCGGGCAATTTACCCTCTCCCCGCCTGCCTCCATCTCCAGCCAGTCCCAAGATTGTGGAAAGCAAGGCCATCATCAACCCTGCTGGTCCAGTTCCTCGAGCACCAACCACCGTAACAGCGTCCACAGTCCGGGACAATGGAGCCACAGCTAGAGAGGCGCGCGTTCCACCAGACTCAGCGTCCGATTTTGCAGAATTCATCAAGGCAACGGGACCGGCTGACGAAACCAAATCGTATACTGTGCCGAAACTTGGATCTCCTCCCGTAAGCTCTGATAAAGGGTATAGGGAATCTCGACGTGCCTCTGCTACCGGCATCATCAATCGCTCGCGCTACCAGCCTCGTGACGCGACTGTGGATGGCAGGGTCGATAACTCAGATCTCATTGACTTTATTCGACAAGGACCGCCAATAGCCGCAAGCAATCATCGAATCCCTCGTCATGTTGCTCCTTTTCGCAATACAATGGACTCGGATCAGATGTCTGGAGCTATTGGCGGTAAAGCTATTGATGCAAATATCCCTGACATTCGCAGCAGTCGAACGTCCACAAATGTAACAGAAAGCTCTATGCCGTCGATGCAATCATCTGTGAACTCCAAGTCGGCATTGATTAAACACAAAGCCCCGAAAATTCCAAACAAGGCCTTTGATGATGATAACATGATGCCTAAGCGAAAAACAAGGAGGGTGCGCGACCCCTATGCTATAGACTTCAGCGATGAGGAGGGGGAAGTGGACCAGTATGACCATGTCTTGGATACACCCAAACTCCCAGTGAAGAAAGAGGAGAGCCTGGCAGAATTCCTACAGAACTATGAGCCACCACCGGAGCCTGTGTCTACACCGGCTCCCCGGTTGCCAAGGAAGAAAGCTAGTGCGCCAAGCTTGATTGGGAGGTTTACTCGCGGTAGCAAGGACAAAGAGAAAGAGAAGGACTCAGCAACGGTCAAAGGCATGCCAGAGGTACGATCGGTGAGCCGCGCCAGCAGTGGAAGAGGATATATCCCCATTCAGGTCAACATACCTCCAGGATACGACAAGTACAATCCCATGAACGGCAACATTGGAGCTAACCGAGCCCGAGGACCGTCAACAACTTCTTCAACTGCAGGTAGGGTTCCGGTGAAGAAATTTGAACCGCGCGAGGCGGCCAGCAAGCGAAGTGAGACAGCGGATTTGGCTGCCTTCTTGCGTGAGTCGGGACCGCCACTTAATAATTCGCCCATGGCGATTAACCGGAGATCTTCTCAACAAGAGGACAGTGGCGGGTTTACCAAAATGTTTGGGCGTAGAAAGAAGCCCCTCGCCTTGTAAAGGCCTAACGAAATGTTTATGACTTGCTTTAAGTTCCTCTTGTTGTGCAAATTTTTTCCATTTCGTTTCATTACATTTCTGGGGGGACGCGGCTTTCATCTTTCGGCGGCGCTCTTAGTTTCTACACTCATCCTACGGAAAATATCTTCTTGACTCTGAAGACTACTCGGGCGGCTGCTGAATCTCTGCCATGAGTATGAAACGGCATGTACCGTTGCACTTGGGCCCACAACAACATCTCTCCTCAACTTGTTCTCTATTACCACTAATCCTCTTTCTCATGGACCGAGGCCACACAGTCCGCCACCCGCCGCATTGAACCCCTCATACGAGTCTCCTTTTTTTACACCCTTGATTCCCCCATGCCAATTATGTTCATTTCCTATTTTTTATAATACTTTTCTCGCGTCTTTGCTTCTTTTTATGCACTTTGGCTTGCTTCCTGGACAAAATACCCTGATACCGAGACACGCAGATATCTGAAGCTGCCCGACGGATGGCAATGGAAAGGAGGTGGAAATGTGGAAAATCAATCAAGAACGGGCCTATCTGAATTGGGACTGGGGCTCGATTTCTATCGTTTTTTTGACGTATTTGCTTCGCGGAGACAATGTTTGCTTATATTCTTCATATCTTGCGACGAGTTTGCTCGCGATCCAGCTTGTGCTGTGATGGTAGAATAGATTAGTGTGACGATCTGCTCAGTTAAATGTTCCGCTTATGTGACTCGTGTGCATGCATGTCTCTTCACTTGTGAGAGGAATGCGAATGCAAACATGGATGACCTACACTACACATGCATATCCCCACGCAATACGTATACAAAAAGATGCCGTAGACTTTCTCGTTGAAAGGTAGGCATTGGATGCACATGCATGTTCAGAAATATTACGATGGACAATACCCACAAAGTCGACTACAATCAGAACCCGAATGGTGGAAGTCGTCAATTTCACTATCATATATTGCTAATCATGAGCTCTTGGAATCACCCAACCCGTAGCCACACATATCAAGGCCAAAAACATGCCAAAATAAAAGCAAGGAAGCCCAGAATACAAAGCATTATCGAATAGCAAAGAAAAAAAGAATACGACTTCGTGTTTTGAGTGCATTCCAATGGAATTGAAAAATAAAATAAACGCCCGAGGCGCTGAGTTCTCCAGCCGCTCTCACCGACCAAGGAAGCGTATTGACCCAGTACCATGCTATCCAACCCAGACATTAAGGAAATCGAATACTATAACAAGAACAGGGGCGAAAGGGGTAAAATATAAAAGCGAGCAAGATATCAATAGCTAACCATCTCTGTTGTCAAAATTCCTCGGGGAAAAGTCCGCATGGAGGCCTGCCATGTAGATTCCAGGGAGGCTGTTGAAAGTCACTCGAATCTAGGTCTCTCAAGCAGTTGAAGCAACCAGGCAATTGTGGCATTGTCGACATGTGCTTCAAAATGCGAAGAGAATTAAATCTCCATTCGCCCGGCAATGTCTTCACTCATCAATCTCTCCGTGTGCAGCATATGCGTGTCGTTCTCGTCCTCGTCATCCAGGTCGTCATCTTCATCCACTTCTTCCAAATATTCGTCTTCCGAGTACAAGACTAAGTCGCCGTCTTCTCCTCTGTTCCAAAAAAGCCCATCATCCATCTGTTCCTCTTCGTCATCGAGGGAATTAACCAGTTCCACTTGTCTATCACCAAGCCAGTAGTTGGCTCGTTTCGACGCGCCTTCGGCGTCAAAGTCGGCGTTTCTCTTGGCTTGACCAATTCGCATAGGTCGCAGCGTCGGGCTGGTCGATGAGACAACTGGTACCACACGGACATAGAGGTATGCCACTCTCTTCAACGCCCTGTTAAAAAAGAAATAATGGACTGCCCAAATGGCACTTTCGTCTTCCTCAAATGGATCGGGGTCGGGTTGATAACTGAATATCGTACACTCATTGAGGCGCATTTCCTTGTCTATCAGGGACCAGCATTGTGTGCCCCACACTGAGTTCAGGTCGCTTCCCAGAGATGAGTCAAAGGATGTTGCTTCGAATCCGGGTCGCACGTTTTGGAGGATGGAATCAAGATTTGCCATGACACGGCGCAAATTCCTTTCGCGTTTGAAGTCGTTCGGCCGCAATACGTGTGAGAAGTCGTAGTGTGGATGGCTGGCATTTAGTGTTGCGATCAGATAGGCAAAGGTCCTCCTACTGGATAGTTCTGACAGTGGCCCGAAAGCGCTGGATGTCGAAAACAGTTGCATACTCGGTGACGTAGCCAGCATGTGCTCACGATCTGGCGGTGATAGGCTAGCACCAAGTTTTAGTAAGGCAGCATGCTGTGAGTCGAGATCCTTGTCGATATTTTTGTATAATTTCTTGTCGGAGCCAGTCGATTTTGTTGTGTACAAGTCGCAGCCGCCGGTGACGTTGCAGTCGGGAGTATTGAAGTTGAGCGCGCTTGTGACCGCTTCGAATTCTTGAACCGGAAGATACTACAAGTTGGGCACCGTCGCGTTAGCAGAAACAACAATAGGGAACGTCTTCTAGATGGCTAGATCCAGATAGTGTTTAGAAGCGCACCTTCATCTTGGCGGTTACGAAACTCTTAAGCAGCGCCAGAAATTGTCCTGAATGCAAGGGTCGCAGGGGATGTTTCAAGAAGATATACAAACGACGTATTCGAGGGAAGTGATCTCTGAATGTTGCGAAATGTCGGATGGATCGGAGTTGCGATTGTCTGTGGGACAAGGCGGGAGGTGGTGGGTGAATCAATTGTGAGGAGACCACGTAACAAAAGGGCGGACGGCTCGTGTAATGCCGGGGCCAGATGGTGAAATTGGGCAGTTGGGCACTCGAGAATGTGCCAAATAGCAATAAATCCCTGTGCGATGGCAAAGAAGCCACTGCGCAAGTGTCGCAGTCGCTCACAGCGATCAAGTGCGGATTGCGGTATTCGTCGTCGGTCGCGTGTCGCAAGCCTAGATGTCACTCCGGAGTCGGCAGACCCGGCGGAAGGAGTGCGCAGTGCTGTATGCCAGGACCCTAGATTAGTCCAAAAGGAAGGGTAGTGTGCCAGACCGAGAAGTCTAGCAACGAGAGTCGGCAGGCATGGCTATCAATGAAGAAATTCGAGGGTTGGAAATGGGTTGGAAGGCGACGATGAAGGGGATGAGAGGCAGCGCGTGAAGTGGAGAGGGGAAGAGCGAGTGAGTGGTGCAAGTACCAGTCCTTACGTAGGAGTTGGAAGTGAGAGCGTATCTGCCGACTTGGGATGCGCAAGCGCACATAAGTTACTGGTGTGCTGGAGCGCCTAGTGCATGCGCCTGAGCCGGAGCACCAGGAAAGCCAAACCGGGCCAAGGTTCAATGAAGATCCAACGGGACCAAAACCACCACGAGCTCGGGACGCGAACAGGGAAGCGCTCCTCGACGTCTCCATTGTCAGGTGGGTTGAGTGCTGCATCTGGTTTGTGGGCGCTGCACCTTCCCCAGTCCCTCCTCGCACGGAATGGCTCCAGATGTCGCCCGGAACATGGCGGCTCCGTTGGTCCACTGGATAGCAACCTCGCCACTCCCACCACACACAGAGAGCCGTCGACTGGTCGTCAATAGTCCTCCTGGAGTCGGCGTGCTTCGGCGCGGTGCGTGGTGCGGCGAGGTGCAATCAGTGGCTCACCATCTCGCCGTTTGATCTCATGGCACGCAGCAACAAGCCACCGCCCACTTACGCACGCCAAGGCAAAACGCGGCAAAAGCACCAGTTGAGAGGACGGCAGTGGCACTGTGTCTCGAAGAAATATTGTCAAGTCGTCAACTCTGGACTCTGGCCGACCAGATCCGATGCCGCGCGCCGCCTCCGACAACAAGCTTGCTTCCTCCGCTTCCTCCCAACCGCGACTCTGCACATGGGCAGGACTATCTGGGTGCATTGTATCGCTTCATCGCATGTCGTCACCCGTGTCGTGGATGCGCGAATGTGCCTGTTTCTTCTCTGCTGCTGCATTTGCGACGCCTCGTGGATCGATTCTGCTGGTTAGCCTCTTGATTGGGCCAATACTGACAACGGCGCCAACTCTTCAATCTCTCAACGAATGGGGTGGCATAATAGTTCCACGGGTCACGGACGTGATATTTGCTGCGGCCGAAATGCTTTTGTAACATACAGTTAAAATTCCACCGCGTCGACTGCTGCATTGTGGGACAAGAATTCAAGAGTACAACGTGAAATTTTGCTCGTCATTACTCATTCATACCCAGCCCAGCTTTCGATATTGGGTGCCTGCCCTTGGTGCGGCGTTTTGGCTCGTCAAGTTTTGACTCGGAATATTCCCAGATGGCTCTCGGTGGGCATCCTACATCGCCGCGACAGTACTTGCCCATCCGGTTTAATGGCAAAGATCGCCTCGAGTATGCCAAGTCTCCAAAGTCGTCAAGCTGGGTCTGGATGCCTTCCGCGTAGCGGCTGCGTGAGTACTCGTTTCCTCCTGCAACCGAAGCGCTCTGACTATCTCTCGATATTACAGAAGATGGTTTTCCACCCTCAAAGATAAAATACACACAAAGCCAACACGGCCCGCGGTTTACCAGTGACAAACCGCCAGTTCATCAACAATGAGCCCATACCCGCGCGTCCTGTGCTCCGTATTGTCTTCTCTTCCCATTGAAGAGATGCCCAGTATTCTCGTCGTGTCTATTGCTTGCGACTTCATCTCCGTTCAAATCAGGCCGATGTCTTTGAGATTCTTCTCGATGTCTATCGTGGCCTGCCAAACTCAAGTGTCAATGTTTTGCATCAATCATCCCGAGTCAAATCACTGTTCACATCCTTCACGTTCTTGCTTCTTGTGTTCTAATCCAGCACGCGCTAATGCGGCCGCCCCTGTTTGACGGCTGTCTGGACATCGTGCTTCGATAAGGTAAAAATGATGTCAACACTTGGGAGTGCTGTAAAGGGAGGCGCTACATCATCTAGCAGAAGTATATCACCTCACACTTTTCCAAGGGTTCGAGAGGAAGAGGGAGGTTACATGAGCTTGGTCACTTCATCCTCAACCTAATGATGCGCGAAAGGAACAGATATCCCGCGTCAGCTGGTTTTGACTCTGGCGACAGCATGTGCGTAGATTGCACGGGGAACAAGGGAACACCTTCTGTGGCAGTATTGGGAGCCGGGAGGACGGGGGATGGGGAACACCGGGAATAGGAACGATATCAACGCGTGAAAACGTACCTCCATATCCTCCAGGGAATCTTGCTGCCCTATACATCGTAAAACATTCTTTTTGCTGCTTTCTTGAAGCTCGCCGGCGAGGAGCAGCTCGTCAAGGATATAGTATGCTTTGGTGAAGGAAAAGATGATGTCTAGCTCGCAGACGTTGCCGTAGTATTTGTCCATTTGTTCGACATAGCGATGGATGATTTCGAGTGTGATCAATTCGTTGTCGTCTGACGAACATCCAGTGATAAAAAACAACGACGCATATCGGCGGTACACAATCTTTGTTTCTGCAAGAAAAAAAAAGGGAGAGGGCAACATGTTAGCATACTGGATTGAATATCAATCGTGAAGAGACTGGTGGCAAGGATTTGTCACAGAGCACGCACCCTTATACTCTAGAAAGTTGCACATGCGTGTTCGACGGGCGAGAACAAGCTGTGACACGTCTTTGACAATCTTGGCCTTGTCCTTGGGAGACAGCGTAGTGAACCACTTGGCGAGGCGCTAAGTGACCGAGTTAGTCTTCATCTAAATTCGTCCTGCAATACGACACAGAGAAGCCGACGGACCACCTTGCCCTGGCGGGACAGCAGGATGAGATATCTGTGGCCACTCGTCAGCAACTGCACAGGAGGAACCCGAATACGGGACAAGAGACAGTGCGCACTGAATAGCCATTATGAGGCGAGCGCACACGTCACCAAGCCTAGCCGGTTGCAAGACGTGTGTATGCCTGAATGTCGGGAGGGAGAGGAATTGGGGATAAAAAATGACGAGGGGATATGGCTGCTGTGTTTGTGGTGTGGGTTGTGATGTGGAGGTGTCATTCGTTCATCTAGGTGGCAGGGCAGTCTAAGCTGGTTGGCGACGAGCCAACTGCTTTCTCAGGAATAATAGGAGAGTGGGTGGGGGTAGCCTTGTCGACCGGAGGTGACGGAGTAGACAGGTTTTTCCGTGCCGAAGAACAAGACATGGAATGGGAAATGGGAAACGAGAAACGGGAAACGAATAGATCAAATATGGATAATACATGGTAGCTGGCAGTAGTATTTTATTATTCTGATAAGATCCAGTCAAATGAGACATCTCCATAGTAGTGCTGTGAGACGCCTTTTTTTTTCTCCATCTCTTTGCCTCTGGGGAGAATTGCGACATGTACAATGCGGCGTCACGGCGCCTACTCAGAGAATTGCGTTTGTCCTGCACTGTGGTTTCTATGACAGACCCTCGGCGAGAAACCCGAGAAAAGTCCACCCTCGGATGGTGCAAAACGCCATCGCAGGGTCGCTCGCAATCGGGTGAAGAGCCCCTGTGCATGGCCCCGGCGCGATGAATCAATGTTCTGCGGCGCAACAGGCGGCATTGTCTTCAATGTATGACAGACTAAAACGCAACGCCGACAAAGTCAATGCCAATGAGAAACGCCGCCTGGGCACCCCGCATTATTAATCCAAGCGGAATTACCGTCAGATTCTCGCGCGGGCTTGCCTTGTGGCTGCAGCATGGCAGCACGTATTTGAAGGAAGAAAAAAGTCGTTGATGCCTTGACAACGTCAAAAGCTAAAACCGCCAGCGGATTTTTCTTGGCGCAGTTACTTCGACTTCGCCAAAGGGCGCCATCACAACTACGTCTGTTTTCGCGCCCAGCTTAAACCTTCCCTTGGTTAGCATACTCCGCTCTTGCCGGCGCGGCTCTCTTATTTTTGTCTTTCTCTTTTTCTTCGACCTTGAATCCGTTGACTGGGGTTCCTCAATACGTCTGTCGATATATACATTACTCAAAGACTTTTTTTTTTTCGTTTCTTTTCTTTTCTTTATTTCTTTTTTCCTGGCACGCAGCCAACAATCTGCCTGCCATGACGAAGCTGGTGCTGTCGACGGGGTATGTGCTCCCCTCCATGTGCCCGCCAGAATCGGAGGACCCTGCATTTGAGCCGTGATGGGCTGGGCTAACCGAAAATTTTTGCTTTTTGTGCGAACAGCAATGTTATGACTTCCGGCCCGTCGATTATTCGGAAGTCGGGCAGCAATAACAGATCCAACCTTGAACTCGTGAATTCGCTTCGCGACAGCTTCTCCGAAGCCAAACGCGACTATGCCGAGGCCGCGCACCCGAATGGCAACGGGACTAGCAACGGTGTTGCCGATAGCATCCCCAACGGCATCTCCAACGGAAACGGCAATGGCATCCGCAGCGGCACGTCGACGCCGCCGACGCCCGTTGAAGTTTGGACGGAGAGAGACGGCAAAGTCCTGTACATACCGCGAATCAATTGGCAGGCTGCAGGGCTGCGAGATGAGCCGAACCAATACGAAATCACGGTAAAGATGTTCCTCCTGCCTGGAACATCTGTGGAACAGCGTGTGCAGTATATTGGCGAGGCCTTGGCTCTGGTCAGCAAGGAACTGGGTATTCAAACCATCGATTTGCTGGTCGCGTCGTTCCCCGGCATATCCTTTGAAGGAACGTGCGAGTGGGAGGCTGACAAGAAGAATGCCAGCCAAGGCAACCTGGATGAAGAGCTAGCAACGTGGAGGATATTCGAAGAGTTGCACAACCAAGGACTCGCCAAGCGACTTGGAGTGGCCGAGTTTGGCAGCGAGAAACTGAGCGCGTTCGTCAAGCGTGCCTCGATCCCCCCCGTCGTCGACCAGATCAACTTGCACGATTGTTGCAATGTGCCTCCGCCGCTGAAACAACTAGCCGAAGTCCATGGCATCGAGCTCAATGTTCACCGCGATTGCACTGACATCCTCCCTCCGGGAACTCTACGGGAACTCCTCGGCTCAGGACCTCGAGGAGCCAACGTGCTGGCTGATGCGGAGAATGGCGGAGTCGGACTGCAGGGGAACATCGTCCCCCAGTGGGTTGTGCGATACATGGCCTTTGTTCGAGATCGTGGTGTGATTGAAAATAAGGGATATTTTGCCGGAGCAGAGCTTGTTGAGGGGTAGAGAGGCAATTCTTTGATTCGAAGCTCGGCAACTTGACGAACCGCCAAACAGAAACAGCATTTTGATAAACATCTCGGTGGCTTATTTTCGTTTACAGATGTGCACAGTCGGAGGCTGCTTTATTTCTGCACCTTGTTTTCCTTTTCATCTATTATTCCTTGGGATATCTTGGGGAGGTGACTTTGCTATAGCGAGCATTACACTCTGCGCCACGGCGGCGCATTAACGTCCAATACTATGACATGAATTTCATAAAAAGTAGTTTTTTGCTTCTTTTTTTGTTCTTCATTTAGATTTGCGTCATAACTCGTCAGCCAAGCATGCTGCGTTTCCTTCCTCGCATCCTGACATCCTCGAGCTTTTTCAATACTGTCGCGGCTTGCTTGAAGCAGCCCCTGTATGCATCGAGCAGTTCGCCAAATACGCACTCGGCGCGCGGGTGTGTGCTGCCAAAAGCCCGTTCAAGAACATACAAATCGACGGCTCTATCTTCTTCATGGATCGATCCGCTTGCTAGCCCCAGATCAATAATGACAATCTCCCCGCTGAGCGCATCAACCTGGTCTGCGCTGTCGGACGGCGGGCGCAGCATCATGTTGCTAGTGGTCAAGTCACCATGGACAATGCCAACCCTGTGCATATTCCCAATGGCCACACCAATGCGCCGCATCAAGTCTTTTAACCTCGCGTCGTTCTCGATACCATCTGTTCTACTTCCCAGCCGCTCGTTGATGTTGACACGCACCGGCGTTCCCTGAATCCATTCCAGCATCAGCCATCCGGCACTTTCGTCGATGGCGTACACGGCGGGGACGCGAACACCATCCCGTCGGCACTTGGCGAGGATTCGCGCCTCGGACAAGATTCGGTGCTTGGTGAGACGCTGATCGAGAATTGGGTGTCGCCAGGGCTTGGGTGGTCGGTATTTCAGTGCGCAAGGCACATCGGGCCGGAGGTATGTAGTTTTGTAAAGACGGCCCTCGGCGCCTTGCGTGATGAGGCATGGAGGGGTAGAGGCGGGGTATTCGAGAATCTTGGGAAGCGGAAACTGGTGAGTCGCAGGTGACTCTGTCGATGAGGCGGCGGCCATGGCAGATGCCAATGGGATACTGATGATCCCAGGCTCTACAGGTCTCTGGTCCGAGGTGGTATCGCCGACGAGAGTCTATTTCTATGGTGACATGTGGGATTTGGTCGCGCAGTAGCAAGAAAAGGAAGCAGAAAAAATCGAGGAGGCGGCGAGCGACGGGCACACAGTGTGGATAGCTGTGTAATACGCACAGTGGTCTTGGGGGATACATCTTGTGGGTCGACAAGCTACACATTGAGGCGTGCCGCGAGACCCAAGGGGCACGCAGCTTATTTAGCTACGAATGTGCTTGGAAACTACGTAACAGATTGTTTCATTGCAGAGAAACCGGAAGCTCCTGGAGGAACACGGTGGATGCTTGGGGGCGGGTTATGAGACCATTAATTTAATAGTGGTGTTCTCAGTGTCGGATAAGGCTGCCGCTCTCTCTACAGGGCGTTCTAGTCTACGTCGTTCTTTATCATTTTTCACACGGAATCCCGTTACTCTCATTGACTCTTTACTAGATGCGGCGATAGGGTTGTTCGAAAGACCAAGCTGTATCACTATCGTGGGCAATAGGCCGGACAATATAGGCCGCCGCAGGACTTGGGTATGAAGAACAGCCTTTAGATGCTAGCTTGATATAGGGTCGGCATCTCTTTAGCAATCAAATTTACTCCCGTCTAAACACCAGTCTCATGCTCCCAAGCCACATAATCAACTGCGCCCTGAGCTTCAACTGCCGTACGGCAGCGGCCCTGGACCCACCTCTTTATATTTCTATATTTATCAACACCCCTCGAAATCGCAGCACAGTAGCAAGATGGCATGCCTGCAGCGTTATAAGCGGGACGCCACTGTTGCTTGCCATGTTCGGAAGCTGTTTCCCAATCCATCGTGGTGTGAAAAGCTGCTGATTCTCCTCATTCTGCTGACCCTCCCATCAAGGGCCTCAAGCTGCCTCGCTTCCCCTATTTACACACACTCTGCCACCGCATCTCCCATGGCTCGTGGTGCCACGCAGCGTTTGAGTTTACACGAGCTACTCAGAACATTTGCACTTCGTCATCGTGGTTGCTCCCCCACGCATATGGCGTTAGACTCGAGCTGAATCAACATGCGGTTAGGAATCTAGGATATACTTTGGCAAGAAGGGCTCCGCCTCCACCAGGTCAGCATCAGCCTAGATTGTTCGCATCCTACTGGAGAACATAGGCTGGTTAAGCATGGCGCAGGGCAAATATCTCATACTGACCAATCACTACGTGCGACACACGACGATTTCTGCAATATTATACCTTCGACGGCTGACTTTGTTGGAGGCGTCCTCCTCCATGAGAGTAACTCTCTTAAGTCGGGCGATTTGCCGCATGCAAAGCATCTGCTCTCTGGCTGTCCATCACCTGCATTGCGGAAAACAGCGGATTGGCATTATGGATCCTCTTACCATCGTTGGCGCTGTTGCGGCATGTTCAGATATTATCAAGATCATTGTCAGAATTACTTCGAATCTTTCCCAGGTCCGGTCCCGCTGGTCCGAGGGTGGTCGGGCGGTGCAACTTTTGGCACAAAAACCAGTCAGCCATCCGCGCAGCCCTGACTGAAATTGAGACATGGGCAGAGTTCAGTCTCAGATCTAATCCAAGAGGAGAATCACTTAGCCAATGGTTCAAGGTAGCAATAGGCGGCTGCCAGGCCGTCATAGAGGCCCCAGATCCAGATATCCTCCCGCTCGTTGGGGATTCGGTCGGATCGCGGCTACGGCAATTCTTCCTTGACACCAACTCGTCGTCAAAAGAACATGACGCTCGTCTCCAGTCCCAGATTTCTGCGCTTCAGCTTCTCGTTATAGCTGCTTACTGGTCAGTGGTTATACGTTCGGTTCGCTAGGGCCTATTTTGCTTACTCTTTGTATCCAGAACCTATCCGAACAGAACGACCTGCTGAGGAAACATACGTCTACCCAGCTGCTACAAAGATTTCAAGAGGATATAACCACTATCTGAGAACAGTCAATGGTTAGAGATGACTGCGTCTGAACAGCCCAGCCTGCAGGACGATGTCCAGGATATCGACATTCCGACCCGGGGAGGGGGAATTTCTGACCAAATCCCTTCAACAACTAACCTACCAGTGCTCAACTATCCCACTGAAGAATGGCAAAGGCCGTTACCTTTTCAAAGACCAGAGTATGCAGATTCCCCTCCCCCCTCCGAGAAAACATCACAGACTTTGTCTATCTTCTCGAAAAGACCTAGGTCCTTTTCCACTGTACCCTCGGAAGGCTCAGGCGGACATAACACCGCCAAAGACAATTGTCGCTGCCCAGAGAGGCGATGTCGCCGAAATGACCTCGCTCATCCGGCTTCGAGCAAATGTTGAGCAAATACACCCTAAGACAGGAAAGACCTCGCTGGCTGTAGCGGCGCACTGCAGTCACGAGGGGGTAGTTGAGTTGCTTTTGGCCGAAGGCTGCAATCTCAGAACAAAGGATAAGAGTCAACTCGACCCATTGCATCTCGCCGCCGCGAATGGTCACTGCCAGGTCATCGATATCCTACTCGACGGAGAAGCAGTTGTCAATGTACGCGGTCCTGAGGATAATACTCCGCTTCGAGTTGCTTGTGACCACGGTCAGATGAATGCGATTAGAACACTGGTGCGACGCCAGGCGGTGGTGGATGCGAGAGATAGAACAAAACGTACATCACTGCACATAGTGTCTGATAGCGGAGATAATGATGTGGTCAGACTGCTCCTGCAATCCGGTGCCAACAAAGACGCCAAGGACTCCCAGATGAGATCGCCACTGCACTGCGCTTGCGCTGCAGGCCGCCTCGATGTTGTCAGGACACTCGTCGAGGTAAAGGCCAACATCGAGGCCCAAGACGATGCCAAGATGACGCCTCTAGGCATTGCATCCAAGTTGGGACTCAGGTCTGTCGCCGAGATACTCATTCAGAGTAAAGCCTTGACAAATATAAAGAGCCAGGGCGTAATGACACCACTCCATTGGGCGAGTTTCGAGGGCCATGACGAAGTCGTAGAACTCCTCCTTAAGAAGGAAAAGGCCGATACCGAGGCGCGGAATGAGAATAGCAGAACAGCACTACACTTGGCTGCAATGACGAGGAGTTTTGGCGTGATTGAGAAGCTACTCAGAGCCGGTGCCAATATAGAGGCGGAGTGTAGTCAGAAGTACCAACCGCTTCATTATGCCTGCAGAGACGTCGAATATAGCGAAGCCTCATTACTGTTAAACTTTGGGGCTGATTTCAATGCCAAAACCAGTACAGGGGAAACGCCTCTTCACCTCGCTACCAAGGCAGGGTCAAAAGCCACGGTACGCAAACTTGTTGAGAGAGGAGCATCGGTGAACTGCCAGGACGGCCATGGAACGCGCCCGCTCATTACTGCTTGTTCCCAGGGCAGCATCATGATTGTTCAGAAGCGGCGCGAGGCTCAATGTCCCGCTTGGCCTCGGACTTCGAAGCGACTCCCCAGTGTAGGGCCGCAAGCGGAGGCTTCGTGCCTATAATCCAAGAGCTAATAAACCGTGGTGCCAGCGCGAGGGAAATAGACTCTGGGGGGTGGCAGCCTCTGAGACATGCTGCGTTTATGGGCCACGTCTCTGCGGTTGGTTGTCTCCTGGACAATGGGGCCAGGGCGAATGATCTCGGCGCCTTGAAAATCCTGTCGTTCTCATCAACCGCAACCTTGGACCAGATGGCTCGCATTTTAGAGATTCTGGAAACCGGCCTACGCAGCGAGCAAGCGGAGCACCAACGTGTCGCATATCTCGAGGCGTCGGCCACGCCTGCCAACCACGGTGACCCGTTGGAGTTGCATAGTAATCCCAGTTCGACGCCCGAGTTGGTTCGAAACGGAGCTTATACGGGGTATCGAAGGCTGTTTGATGAAGAATTAGAAGGCGTAGCATCTGGGACCGTATCTCTGGCTAACAATCTAGAAACTCAGTATCCATACCGGGAGACTCGTCCACCAGGTGGCGTATTGCAGTCAGACTCTGAATATAGTAGCTCCTACCGACCCCAAGATATCCCAAGGTCTCTAAGCGAGCTGCCTTGATAGAATTCACACTTCTATTTATGTAGTACACCAAGCTATTCTGCTACAGCTTTCTATTTTAAGCTGGAAAAGCCAAGCACAAAAGAGAGTAAAGTTGAAAGAAGGAGGCTATAGACATGGCAGCCCAAAAGGCAAGGTCTCATGTGTCTTAGGACTTGTAAGTGCATAGTATAGGACCAAGAGGGTTATAAAAAGTCTAGTGAGGCGGCGCAGTGGGAATACAATCACCTGGTGCTTGCATAGCATTGAATGTTGTCAGTATGGCCAAACACATGTCGGCCCACTCGCCCACCCGCCTGCGGACAGCTGACAGCTCACTCGACTGGTCTGGTCCTTGACAACCCGCCACGCACCCTCCTCGCCTCTATTGTCTAGGAGGAGTCAATCAAGGGTTCCTCGGTACCTCTGCGGTGTGTCATTGTCGCCCACCCATGCCAGTACCTAGGTACCTGCTCTGTACCGAGTAGCATTGATGGCGCCAGGCTTACGGCTGTTGCCGGTGCCCCATCCACTAAAACATTGAAACATCCAGTCCGTCTCCCGTTTGGACCTTCAAGATAGTCGCACGTCAATGACGAACGCATGCCTGTCGGTTGTTGTCCGTCAAACCAATAGCTGAAGACTTTGTCGAAGAGGCAGAGGTCGCTGCCGATGCACTCGACTCTTCTGTCAATGCACACACCACCAACCGACCCGCCGGCATACTATCCATGTGTCGAGTCCCAACGCCATGCGGCCTGGCGGACTCACGGGGCTTTTCTATTAGACTCTGCAGCTGCATGCCCGGATGCAGGGGCAGCGATTGATTGCTTGAATTTTGATCTTGGGCGGCAGCACTTGAAGGCCTCAAGCGGGCGGCTCGGCTGGGGTGGCCGGGGTCTCTGGTCAGATCAATGATCAATCACGGCTCGTCAGTCCACGGTCGACTCACCACCAGCACACCACCACCGCTTTGGTTCGTCCGGACTCTGTTCAGTCAGTCGCAACCAGACGATATACCTGAGTGCATGCGTCGTCGGCCGTCCTGCATGTGCCCCATGCTGCACAAGTGGTGTTGCGGCCAACATTGAACAAACACGCAAGCTTTGCAGTGGAGGCCCAATCGGGCATTTGAGGCGTCAACTGGTCTGGTTCCTCCTCCTTCCAAGGTTTCCCAACCTTTCGTCACCACTTTCTACGCCCACGTCGTCCAGTCTGCTCTCGTCTGGTGCCTTACATGTTGCATACTTTTTGCATTGACTGTGCCTCTTGCGCCTCGCTAGTCTTGTTGCGCCAGATCATGACACCACCCAGCTGCGAACCCATCACTGCCTCTGTCTGCGCATCGTCGTCGTCGAACCCCGCTCCATCATGCCCGAGTCTGGCTGGCTGCAATGGACCATCATCCTCGTCCTGACCGCCCTTTTCCTGTCACTCGTCGTCGTCGCCCAGGTTGTCGCTACCTACTGGGCGGCCTATCTCGCCGCGCCCCAGGAAATCGTCACCTTTATTGACACGGTCGATTTTTCCATACAAGAAAACGAGAGCTATGACCGGGACGTGGCCAAGGTCCAGCGACTCGAGGACAAGATTCGCCTCGGCCAGCTGCTCCGCGAGATACAGAAGGGGGGCGACGACCTGCGCGAGCAGCTCAACAGCTTGGTGGTTTCCGACGGTGCGACAACCCTGAGGACCAGTACGAGGCTGCTCTGGGGCGCAAAGCGAGCTCAGCTCGAGGACAGGGTGCGCCGTCTGGATCTGTTGAGGATGCGATTTCTCGTCGTCTACATGGGCATCATGACATCTGTCGTCGACAGGAACCCTCCCCCTCCACCCCCGCTGCCTAGGGATCCCGAGAAGATCATGTCCTTTTCGAGCCCCACGAAGCCCTCGCTTAAGAAGTCACTTGCCGACACCGTGGTGAAGCGCCCGCCCTTGAGACGCCTCACCACCCAGGCCATCGGCCACCAGGAAAATGTCATTACACCTCATAGGAAGGGGTGGGCAGGTGTCGTCGAAGAGCTCCAGACCTCGCCGCGCATGCAGCAACGTCATGCTTCGATAGAGCTCGCCATGGCACAACCGACCCCGTAGCCGACAGACCCCCCTTTTATTTTCTTTGTTATCGCGGTGTTAATGCCTTAATGCCCTATGCAGCAGGGTCACGCATATGGGCTGCCATGCAGGGTTACCAAACCATACAACAAAACCAGGAGAGATGAAAATATTCGTTACATGCAGTCCTATGACGACAAGGATAAAACAGCATTGTCAGGCACTTTGGGCAGCACACATACAGACGGTTCCATCCACGACTCTTACGACATATCACGGACAGACAAAAGAGACATGCTCATGAAACATTATTGTATGAAGAAACTGGCGTTGCATCACCACATCACCACGAGTCTGCTGCTGTTTTCTTTTCTTTTTTCTTCTTCTTGGCCTATTACACTTGCGGCTCTTCAATTCTGGTTCTTGTGGTGTGGAGTTTTGTGGCTCGCTGCGGTGTTCTCTTTTTTCCCTTTTCTGGCCCATTGGGTCACTTAGATAGGATACCCCCAGTTTCACTTCTCCGACACGCCGGTTGTTGACATTTTAATTTTCTTCGGCGCACTTCCACCTCGTCACTTCTGCTTGCGACTGACTATCTCTCCCGAGTTTCGTTCCAGACGCCTCGCCAACCCACTACCGCTTCTCTTGCAATACAACGGCTGGTGCATAACATGGTGCACATGAGGAGAGGGGGTTTGATAAAAAGCAGTTTTATCGGTTACTGAGTCATCACGTCGTCTGGACCGGTGCCGTTTCTCTCCCCGACTTTTTTTTTTGAATAGTTAGAAACGGGTAGATTGACGAGAATTGAGTTAGTCTATGTTGACTTACCGTCCAGCGCCACCAGAAATCGACTTACACAGTTGTATGCGGCAACCTATGACGTGAAAGTTAGTCGACGCTCTCTCTCTGGAAAAGAAGACCTTGTAATGGAAAAAAAAAAAAAAAAAAAAAAAAAAAAAAAAAAAAAAAAAAAAAAAAAAAAAAAAAAAAAAAAAAAAAAAAAAAAAAAAAAAAAAAAAAAAAAAAAAAAAAAAAAAAAAAAGAGCTCAAACTTACTGTTCCCGTAATCTCGACCACTTCCCTGTCACTAAACAGTGCTTTCAACTTCGCAAACGTCTCGTCCCTAACCTGCACGTTCCGAGTCATCTCATCCGTGTACGCCAACACGGCCCACTGCTGCTCAGTCAACACGTCTGGTCGCGACAGTCCCTCCAGTGGCCCCTCGGTCTTGACCACGTCGAGGGCTTCCCTGCTGACGCCGGCCTGCGCAGCCAGCGGGGCGTGATGCTTCCACTCGTACCACGCCCTGTTGCACACTGCTACGCGCGAGATGGCGAGTTCGCGGAGGTCGTCCCCCAGCGAGGTCTGTGTGCGGACCGCGCCCAGGAAGGAGTTCCAGCCGTCGGCGAGGGGGGGCGAGTGCAAGAGGGCCAGGTCGAGCGGTTGAAGGGGCCGCGGCGCTCGCCGGGCCTGAATGCGTTGCACGATTTGCGTCTCCTCGGCGGTGGAAGGCTGTGGCGGGTTGGGCACGTAGGGGATTCTCATCCTGACTTGTTCGATGTGACTTTTAATCAATGGATGTATTTCTGGATAAATAGTGGTGTAAGTGCGAGTCCAGGGCATGAGATGGAAAGGGGAGGTGATAAAAAGTTGCAGCAAAGGAACGTGGTTTTCATGGTGAGCGGGATCGGGAATGGCCCGTCGGATGCGAGAGCGGAGGAGCCGGTCCAGGAGCCGGAAACAAAGCGGGGTCGGAAGCGTCAATCGCGTCCCGCAGAGCCGTCAACGGTCCTGGTGTCGCCGCCGAATACTAGCGGAGACGAGAGCGTGCTGTTTCAGCCAATGCGAGAGAGAGACTTGGCCGCTGGTAAATACCTCATCGCCAGCGGGCAGCATTGCATGTAGTAGTCAAGCATGGAATGAAAACATTTATAGGATCTGCGTAAACTCAAAAAAAGGGACACCCCACGGCCATGACTTGATCAGCCACCAGATGTAGAGATTGCAAACTACCTAGTGTCCCGAATCTATGGCCTCGCAGCCGGGACCAGTGACAATCCACTTGATCTTGTTGACGTTGGTGAAAGCTTTGCCAAGCGGGAATGCACCGAATTAGTAGCAAAATGTAAGCACTAACCAGTGCGAAACCGGTTAAATTTAAGTTTTTTTACTTGTGAATAACTTATCTATGTACGGAGTAGTAAATTCCAGGATCTTTAATTCAATTTGACATAAATTACTTGTTTTTTTTTTTTTTTCAACTTGGTAAAAATTACTTGTACAACTATTCATTCTATAGTGTCAAGGACTAGCCGGGGCCATCGTGAACGTCAGCACTACTCCAACTCGATATATCATCATAGCGGCAAAAGGGTCTGGTACCAGTTGAACCAGTCGCTCACACAGCCACGTCCGCAGGCAAGGTCAGGCGTATCCCAGACCATGACAGAAATCAATGGCCAGGTTATAGCTCTCCAAGGCTAGAGATCTAAATTTAATCCTAGCCGCATCTAATTTCTTCAAGCCCCGTACCTTCAGCTCCCCCCGGACGAGCTACGCGTGGACTCGGGTCACGTGACCGCCCAGCTCCTTCACCCCATTAACGCGACGCCAACTGCTTTTCTCGCGCGTCAGCCAGCCAAGCACTACTCCCGCCCCCGTCTGGCATATTTCCCTTGTCGGGCTTCTTTTCTATTTCTTTTTTTCCCTTTCGCCAGTCCATCTCGCAGCCCGCCCGGTTGGCCATCAATCACCATGGCGGACATCAAGATTGACGGCAAGCTCTTCCAAGAGCGCATCTCACATTTTGCGACCGCCTGGAAAAATGACCTGAGAGCCAAGGACGGCCTCTTTGGTGGAGCTGCCTCCATTCTCATCATGATGGGCAAGATGGAGGAGATTCCCGAGTTCCATAAGAATAATGCCATGCATGTAAGTTGGGACCCTGCGTCTTATTGCGCAGCGCGCGCGCAAATTGTGGTTGAATCAGTGATGCTGATGAGATTCCTCTCTTTTTTTCCGCGCTCCAGTTTTGGTTGCTTGGCTACGAGTTCCCCACGACCTTGATGCTGCTCACCGTGGACACGCTCTACATCCTTACGACGGCTAAGAAAGGTACGAATGGTCGCGTTGCGAATCACTCGAGTTGTACATATCTGACATTTATTAGCCAAACATTTGGATCAGCTAAAAGGCGGTCGATTCCCCATCGAGGTGCTTGTTCGCGGCAAGAACGCCGAGGAAAACGAGAAACTATTTGTTACCATTGCAGAGAAGATCAAGGCGGCCGGAGTAAGGCAGATTCTCGATTATTCTCGTCTTGATCAATATTGGCTAACGCGACTATGATTCAAGAACAAGGTCGGTACCATCGCAAAAGACACGTCCAAGGGACCTTTCGTCGATGAATGGAAAAAGGTCTTCTCGGAGCAGTGCAAGGACGTTGAGGAGGTCGATATTTCAGCCGCACTATCGACGCACGCCTTTTCCGTCAAAGATGAGAACGAGCTCCGCGCTATGCGAACCGCCTCCAAGGCTTGCGTTGCCTTGATGACTCCCTACTTCCTCGACGAAATGTCCAATATTCTCGATAGCGAAAAGAAGGTCACGCACGCTGCATTGGCAGAGAAGGTTGATAGAAAGCTCGATGATGACAAATTCTGGAAGACGGTTGAGTTGCCCAACAAGGGCAAGCTGCCTTCTGATTTCGACTCGACCCAACTGGACTGGATCTTAGGGCCCGCTATTCAGAGTGGTGGCAAGTATGATCTTCGCTTTGCCGCCGAAGCCAACAATGACAACTTGCATGCCGGCGTCATAATTGCTGGTCTGGGTCTCAGGTACAAGTCATACTGTTCGACGATTGCAAGGACTTACCTTGTTGATCCCAACAAGGCGCAGGAGAGCAATTACAAGCTTCTCCACATGGTTCACAATTCCATTATCAAGGACATTAGAGACGGAATGTCGGCCAAGGAGGTCTATAACAAGGCGCTGAGCTTGCTCAAGATCAAAAAGCCAGAGATGGAGAAGCATTTTCTCAAGAATGTTGGTTGGGGTATCGGACTGGAAAACCGAGACCCAACCCTCGTCCTCAACGCAAAGAACAACAGAATACTCAAGGACGGAATGACTCTCATCATCCATACTGGGTTCCAGGATATCGAAAACCCACAGCCCCAGGACAAGAATAGCAAGGTCTACTCCTTGGTACTGACTGATACTATCCGCGTCACTACCGGGGAACCCGTGGTGTTCACTGCTGAATCTCCAACCAGTGCTGATGCCAATTCGTTCTTCTTCAAGGATGACGAAGAAGTCGAGCCCACCCCTAAGAAGGAGAAAAAGGACCACAGGGTTGGTGCCGTTGCCACTAAAAACATCACCAGTACTAGGCTTCGGTCCGAAAGGACAACGCAGGTCGACGAAGATGCCGAAAACAAGAGAAAAGAGCACCAAAAGGAGCTGGCGGCCAAGAAGCAGAAGGAAGGTCTCGCCAGATTTGCCGAGGCAACTGGCGACAAGAACGGAGCTGAAGTCAAAAAGTTTAAGCGATTTGAATCGTATAAACGAGACAATCAGTTCCCACTCAAAGTCAAGAACCTGGAAGTCGTTGTGGACTCAAGGAACAGCACTGTCATTCTTCCCATCATGGGCCGACCCGTGCCATTCCACATCAACACAATCAAGAACGCTAGCAAGAGCGACGAAAACGACTTTTCATTCTTACGAATCAACTTCCTGTCACCTGGACAGGGAGTAGGTAGAAAGGATGATCAGCCCTTCGAAGACGCTTCCGCACACTTTGTGCGCAGTCTGACTTTCAGATCGTCTGACGGAGAGAGATATAGTGAGATAGCTACTCAAATCTCAAACATGAAGCGAGATGCGGTCAAGAAGGAGCAAGAAAAGAAGGATATGGAAGATGTGATTGAGCAAGACAAGCTGATTGAAATCAGAAGTAAGTGGATGCAATAGACCGGCTTGGATCTAGGTTCACCAAGTATACTAACCACATTTTATTTTCAGACCGAAGGCCTGCTGTATTGGATAATGTCTACATTCGTCCGGCCATGGAGGGCAAACGAGTGCCTGGAAAAGTCGAAATACACCAGAATGGTATTCGATACCAGTCACCGCTCAACGCTCAGCATCGCGTCGATGTTCTCTTCTCCAACGTCCGCCATTTGTTTTTCCAACCTTGTGCGCATGAGCTCATTGTCATCATCCACATTCACCTAAAAGACCCCATCATCGTCGGCAACAAGAAGAAGACCAAGGATGTTCAATTTTATCGTGAAGCCACTGATATCCAGTTCGATGAAACTGGCAACAGGAAGCGAAAGTACCGCTATGGAGACGAAGATGAGTTCGAGGCTGAGCAAGAGGAAAGAAGGCGTCGGGCCGACTTGGACAGACTCTTCCAAGGTTTTGCGCAGAAGATTGCAGAGGCTGGCCGCAACGAAAACATCGAAGTCGATATGCCTATTCGCGAACTCGGTTTCAATGGCGTGCCCTACCGAAGCAACGTATTTATTCAACCAACCACAGACTGCCTCATGCAAGTTGTTGAGCCTCCTTTCATGGTCATCACCATTGAAGATATTGAAATTGCCCATCTCGAGCGTGTGCAATTCGGCCTCAAGAACTTTGACATGGTCTTTGTATTCAAAGACTTTACCCGCGCACCATTCCACATCAACACTATCCCCGTAGAATTCCTCGACCAAGTCAAGGAATTCCTAGACTCATCAGACATTGCCTACAGCGAAGGTCCACTCAATCTGAACTGGCCTACGATCATGAAGACTGTTACTGCCGACACGCATCAGTTCTTTGTCGACGGCGGTTGGGGTTTCCTGCAAGAGAATTCGGACGATGAGCAGGAAGAGGAGTCTGAAGAGGAGTCAGCCTTTGAGATGGACGATGACGAGATGGACGAAGCATCCGAGTCTAGCGAGGAGGGGTCCGATTTTGGTAGCAACGCCAGTGACGATGACGATGATGACGACGCCGAACTGGATAGTGAGGAAGAGGGTGAGGACTGGGATGAGCTCGAGAAGAAGGCTAAGAAGAGAGACAGGGAGAGCGGTCTGGATGATGATGACCGGGGTGGGAAGAAGCAGAAGAGGAAGCGCTAGGCCATGTAGATTTGGGAGACTGATATTAATATTTTGTACAAGATATGTAGCAGGTTGGTAAATGGAAAAAAAAAGTAATGGGTTTTACTTGACTAGCTTGACATGACGCCATGTCGTCCTAAACCAGAACAAATACTCCTCCGTCCATGAATGCCTATCGTCTCACTCGCGACCTACGTGTTGACACAAGACACTTTATGTGTTGGAGGCCCCAACTCCTTGGCTGCGGTTTTCAAAATGTCACTTGTACAAGGTTTTGAACATCCTTCTTATTCGATTGCATCCCACATCACTAAAGAAAACCCAGATCCCAAACGCCCTTCTTGCCTCGATAACTATCTACCGAGGACTTTCGAAAAAAAAAGATTAAAATAAATGAAAAAGCAAAGCAGTACCGCAAAGCATACTAATCTCCCTCATGCCCAACGTTCAGACAAGTCTTTTTTTTTTTGTTTTCCCATGGGATAGGTTCGACAAGGAGGGTGCGGGCGAGCGTAACCAAAATCAGGAAATCAACTCAAATCATGCTGCCCTAAGCTGACATGCCGGCTGCTTTGGTTTAAAGCTATGCATACAATTATTTGTTTCGTATGTGGTACAAGCAAGGCTGGGGGAGAGAAAACGACCCCCTAGCCTGCTGGCACGTCGTCAACTCTTAATGCCATGCTGGTCCGCAAAGGGGAGCAGCCCAGGACAGAAGGAAAGGACGCTTGTGCTGGAATAGGTGAGAGTTGGTGCACGCCATGAAGATCCGTCTAGGAATCGCCGGGGCGGATTTCACGACCGCTGGCCATGGCTGTGCTGGGGCCAGAGGGCTTGGACGCCGGGGCTTTGTTCCAGGTCAAGTGAGTGTGGTCGCCGAGTTTCCTGAAATGCGGCTGGTTAGATTGTGATTCGTAGAGGCGGGGAAAACAGGGCGGAGCAATTCAGGCGAGGGCATTGACTAACCTTGGCTTGAGGAGGTGTGTGGCCGTGAAGATGGCGCCGAGGATAATGCATACTCCGCCGACGGCAATGTATGCGATTCCCAGGAAGTTGTTGCGGCCGCCCATGACGGTACGGGTTGTCAGGAGTATGGACTTGGTGCCCTTGTACTCGATTGTGGGGAAGTCTGCGAGTAATGAATGTTAGCACCAGGTACTGGCTCCGGTTAACTCTGATAATAGTTTGGGCGTGGCATACGATCATCGACAGTGATTTGATAGATACCGGATACCATTTTGTCCTCATCATTCCGCATGGCTAACTTGCTAAAGGTGGGCAGACCGGCCGTGCGCATCCAGACCTGGAAAGCCTCCCATTTCTGCAAGTCTGGTGGTTGATACATGCCGTCGGCGGTGTAGCCATCGGGGTAGGCCACAGCCCAATTGGGAGGGGGCACAATATCAGAGGCCTTGTATTTGGTTGGGCCGTAGAGATCCTTGTCGCTATCCCAAGCAATGCCTTTGTCCGTCATGTTATAAGTGCGGGCCTTGCCGTCATTCGGAGGGTTTTGCCAAACCGGCGAGGAGAAGCTATCATTGAACATGGAGTTGGCAATGAGACCACAAGGGTAATATGGCTTGCCCGTGTCGTTTGGTTTGATTCCATATAACGGAGTACATTTTGACCCAGTAATGTCGCTGTATGAGCGTGCGTCGCCTTTGAGTTGCTGAAGATCGCAGGATTCGGCGTAGCGACGGTGATTTTGATAGAAATTGGTGAGTTGATAGTAGAAGAGAACAGGCGCGCCCATGTCTTCAGGAATGGTGAATTGGAGAACACACTGGTTGCCCTTGATCTCTCTACCATTATGAAGGGTGACGTTCACATCTTTCTTTCTTGCCCACTGCGCGCGAACGCTGCTGTTGGCGTTCTTGAAAGCGGAGTCCACAGCACTGCCAGGCATATCTGCAAAGGTGGTAAAATCGGGCGCATCGTTTATGCAGTGCGTGTAGTCGAGTTTAATCTCTCGTACCTGTTTGGGCAAAGGGATTTAGACCATGATGAGAAGGAACAGAACCGTGAACAGGGCAAAGTACCTGCGAACTGGCATAGAGAAGGAGGCCGCCGATAGGGGCAAAGATGATGCCTATAGTGAAAAACAATGGCAGCACCGTCTTAGGTGTCAAAATTGGTCTATCGCATCGTGGTCAGCCGTGCACTCTTGACTCAGCAGGTCGGGCACCATGGAAGCGCATACTGCCATGCTTTCAAGCGCTGCTGTCGGAATGCGGTGTCTAGTGTCCAGTCATTAATTACCGTCCTCAATTGGGCCGTGTTTCCCAACGATGGCAAATCTCAGGCAGATGGTCAAACGCAGACGGCGGCACTCACTTGGAGGTCTGCGACTCTTTGTCTTCTCCGGCTGCTTCGGGGCAGAGTCGTGGGAGTCTATCGAGTCTGTATGCTCGACGCCGCGCGGAGTGTCGGACATGGCGGGCGAAGTCGACTATCGAGACGCGCTATGCGAATATCCGTGGCCGACCTGAGAAAAAAAAAAGATGGTTTGCCTGCTATGGCAGGATGATTGAAATGTGACGTGAGATGCTGTTCCCAGGGGTTGTTGTCTCGACGTGGAGCACAGCGAGAGACTGTGGCTGGTGCAAAGCCCACGTCAGAATGCAGAATGCGAGACGCGTGGCTGTGCGGCTGTGCAGTTTTGTCCATGACAGCTGCCAAAAATACTCCACACATGGCTTTCAAGCCAGGCAGGCGCCACAGCTATAGGGTAGCAGGCAAAGACAGGTGCTAACATGGGAGCACCAGTCGATGTCAAATAGCTGTCAACTGTCAGTGTCCCATCCGACAACAGTCATTTACAACATAAGAAAACCTACTTGAAACATTATGCAATATACTGCGCATTTGCTAGCACCAAGGCCCGCGCATCCCGCATGCTGCTTTTTTATCCTTTGGTTCCAGTGCTCCCTGGCAAAGAATTGACGACACCTTTCATGTTTATATCGGATTCTCGGCAGGGGCGACGCCGCACTGCGGCCGCAGTTCCTTCCCGACCGTGCTTAGGTTAGCGATAGGCTGTCATGCATCTGTCATCTGATATCTCACCTCTCACTTCTAATATCCTCCCAGATCAAAGCGGCCCAGTGGTCATAGTTGCTATGGTGGGTAGTTTCTGACATGTTACAATTGTGAGTCAACATCGAGTCCAGGGCTTTCCTAAAGTCACTGATACCCCAGATCGCCGCGAGTAGCCATGCGCTTACGAGTGAAATCTGAAGTCGAACAGCAAATACCATCAGATGATGAAGAGAACCCGAGACCCAGGGCTCGGCACTGGTCATCTATGGATCATACATCCTCCATGCAATCATAATACTATCCTCCGTACCCATCTCACCGATCGTGGCTTGATTCTGCCGATTTCTACTGGATCTTCATAGGAAAGCAGAAGTTCAGCATGGACTTGCGTCTCTTTCTGGTCGTCAACTCTCTGCTGGTGTCTCTGACACGGCTGCTTTGCGACACTCCAGCTGAACTTGGTGACGCCACCGGGCTCCATTGAGGACTCGGACGACGAGAAGCGTCAAATGCGGCCTGGGTTCGGTCGTAGTTGGTCATGGATCCACGCTGACCATCGTTGAATGTGACAACGGGATGGTAATCCATGCAGAACATGCTTTTTTGACCATTGCAGGCAGGTCAAATGATGCGATTTGGCCCAACAGATTCTGATCTGGCCCTTGGGTGCTTTTGCTAAGGGCAGACAGACATCTCTTCCTGGTCGGACGTCGAGATATAAAAAGAGTTCCAAAAGCTTCCTATGAAATCTCCCAGCCCTGGCGGAACGGATTTGGTGGCTTTCTTACGGCTATCGACTTGTTCTTGGTACCTTCTTACCACTGCGAGGCGCAGCGTCTTCCATTTGACGTCGAGGGATTTGTGCTCGAATCTGTGGCTCGCATCATTCAAGCTCTTTTTGTTTTGCTTCCGTCTGCCTACAGCTTTTGCCGTTTGAGCCGACTTGGCCAATAAGTTCCTTGTTCCGAGGGGATCTCCCTATCGCTAATTCCGAATAGCGGAAATTCAGCGAGACGAGCGCACTATCAGGCTCTGTGACGGATGATTAGCTGTCCTGATCCACGCCGTTCCAGAGCTCAACTCTTTCTCACGAGGTATTGACTCCATGTGCCCCGTGCTCTTTTCCTTTGGTTCATCCCGAGTTCAGAAATTCGGACCATTTCGCTGCCGTGCCCCCAGCAACAACGGGCATTGACGGCAGTCTCTGATTACTGAGTCTCACCACGCCGACATATCTCTTGGTTAGCGGCGGAGCCGTCACACAGGAGCCACCATTTGTTGAGTTCCCCCCAGGGCCTTGGCCTCTGTATTAGCAGCGCCCTTTTTGTTTCTCCTCCACCTTGTCGTCACCCCCCCAGTGAGACAGTTGAGGCGCAGCCTGCCTAGCCCTGCACAGACACCCTCGACACGCAGCTTTGTCGCTCAGTAACCCTACGTATTGTCACAGCAAGAACCTTGGCCAGCTGTACGGAGGACTCTGTACTGAAATGCACGTCGTCCAGTTTGTCATCGCTCTTGGTCCTTCCAAGGCAGACTGCTAGTGGCATGGAGAAGAGTCGATCCGCCCGGACGAAATCCGAGCACCCGGCGAAAGCGATTTTGTTCCGCTTAATGAACAGGAACAATGCCAAGCGGCACATACAAATTCTGGCCGCCTGTCATTAATTATTACATGGCTAGGCATCCATCCAGACATAAGAACAACCAACATATTCCGGGCTGCTCGTGAACAAGAATTGTGAATCGGTTAGCACCAAGACTGTTTCAAGCGAATTCCACCACTCATTTCTCTTTTCTTGCATGTTTCTATCCCTAGCAGTTTCGACGGCGCCAATCTTCATACCTTTTATCAGCGGCTCATCTCGCTACCGCGTCACCTAGGCACCCTGCAACTCTGTTCGAGACCAGCGTCATCGAAGTCCACGTCTGTAGGGGTGCGATGCTGCAATGAATACTCCGTACTCCGTAGTCACACTCCTATTTGCAAGCAGACAATAGGTCCTTTCCAGCAAAGAATCACTGAACTTCTTTCATACTTCACCTTCACCCACCACCTCAAAGACCGCAGGCTTCGTTTTGTAATCAACATTCAACATACAACGCCACGAACTGTCACAAATCGTCCTCTTATGCAATCATAGTAGCCTCGGCCACTAAGTCTCACCCGACCATATGTCTTCCGCGAGCACAAATACATAAACGCATACCATGCCTGAACGACAAAATACTCTCCGAAGCGTCAATACTGAGACTTCGTCCATCCCACAGATCGAAGTCATGTCCCCTCCGCGTGCTAAAATGCCCAAGCGCACACCGAGAGACACAGGATTTCCGGAGCCTTTTCATAGTGGTAAGTGGTGACTCCGAGCAAGAAGAGAACTCGTGATCAATGTGCTAATACTCAGCTGCTTAGGCCCAAACACTACACTGCCTCACCCCGATGCGGACCTTTCGCCGAACGCCATGCTTTCGTACGAAGACGTCTGCGAGGAGCGAATGATCAAGAGGCATAGGCTCTCCTTTTTGAAGAAGCACAAGCGAACGGTTTCGTACGGCGTCATCAATCCTCAATCCGAAGCCTTGAGCAGCATTCTGTCTCTCTCAATGCTGGACTTTGAGGTAAAGAACACCAATCAATTGAGGAGCACGTCGACAACCAGTCTTCGACTCTCCAAGGATGGAGGCGAGAGCATTCGCTCCAGTTCTAAGAAAGATGACGATACACCGCCGACCTCACCGGATGTAGCGGAACATCGCCGAAAGTCTGGACTATTCAGCCGATTCAAGCGATCTTGAAGCCTTGGCGGGAAGTCAACAGAGCGATATATTGTTAGGATTCGCGCCATGTATTTAGCGTTTTTACGAGGTTATGACGGCCTGCCAATATGTATAGTTTAGCGATGGAGTTGAACTGGTACTTTCTTATTTTGTTTTGGCTGAGCAAGCATGTGTTTCACAAAATTGGGCGCCTGATAGTCCGATTGGGACAGAGGATTAGAGATGCATTGGATTATCGAGATGGGGGAAACAGATTTCGGACGGTTCAGCTTTGGGAACGTATAAAGCATCATTGCCATGACACGTCATTATGAAGTGCGCATGATGGGCTTTTTTTAATTTCACCATGTTAACCTTCTTTCCATGAGTTGAATCTATGACTATGCTGTGAAGACTCCTGATGTCATGGTTGGGCTTAGCTCCCCCGATAAGTCGTGTAGCTGTAGGGACTCAACAAAAGCGGCACATGGTAGTGCTGTCCCTTCTGGACCCTGAACACGACGACGGCCTCGGGGAAGAAGGTCTTGCCCTCGCCGTAGTACCCCTCGATATCAAAGCGCAGGGTCCAGGTCGACGACCCCTCCACCTGGCCAAGGACGTCGTCGAGCGTGTAGACGGGGACCTCGCCCGAGGCGGTGGCCGAGCTGTACGGGAGCCAGACCTTGATGCGGCCGTCGTCGTCGGTGATGGACTCGAATTCCTTTGCGGGCTGAGAGCCGCGGGGCCCCTCGAGACGCACACGGATGGACTTGGCGGGCCGGCCGGCCGTGGTGTCGAGGACGTGGCAGGTGATGGCGTCTTTGGCGGCCATTGTTGGCGGCCCTGGGGGTTGGGCGATGAGGCCGCAAGTGATGGTCACTTTTGGTTGGGTGTGAGAGGGGTACTTTTTTCGAGCAGAGTTGCACTTGGGCGTGTATCGCAGCGCAAGAGTGTCTATCTAGCGAAGATGTTGAAGAGGTTCGCAATGAAACGAAAGGGAGATTAAAAACAATAATCGCTGCAGATGAGAATTTTTTTTTAAAGAGAAAGAGACAGAGAAGGAGAGAGGGAGAAGAGGTAGCTAGGTATTTGATGTAGTACGTTGTTCTGCCCCTCAAGTTCTCTGTCGTGTTAGGCTCCGCACCCGTTGGTGACATCTGGACGCTGTACGGCGCCCCCCGCGTGGGAGGCGCAGATGCCCGCACAAGTGAATTGGAGGCATCGTGAATAAAGATGGTGTGGGGCGACAAGTCTGTACGACAAATGCCAACATTGCCATGTCCCGTCTCTGCGTCTGATGTATTTATTGTACGACTCACTCTAAAAAAAAATAGGACATGCTTTGTTTTGCTCTCGTATAAATTTGGATGCTCGTGATGCTCCGCAGGTTAAAAAAAAAGGTAATACGTTCACGTCTGACACAATGCATTTCTTGGTCGACAAAGCAGCCTACCCCTCCGCCTTTTATGTATCACCATTCACGACCTAACACACAGATCTGCCTCTCAATCGTGCCCAGCGCATCCGACTCTTCATTTTCCCTCCTGAGCTCGCCCACTCTGACTCTACACCCGTCATCCGCGAAAACGGCATCCACAGCATCTCTGATTTGCTCGGCGCTCGGCGTCTGCATCTTCAAATTGTACGCAAAGCCAGCCCATTTGGCACGCCTAGCCACCTCGGGCTTCTCCTCTGTTTCGCCGGCGAATTTGGTCGGCACCCCGTTCATGACAGCGTGTCCGAAAGCGCCGTACCCTGCGTTGGAGACGAACACATCGGCGTAGGGCAGGATAGCATCGTAGGGCAGGTAGTCGGCCACTCTCGCGTTAGACGGGATACCAAAGCCCTCGGGAAGTGTGGCGCCAGGAAGACCCAGGGTCGCAATGACGAGGGTATCGTGTCGGCCGGCGGCGGCGGCGGGCCGAG